TGAATGATGATATATCGTTCTTTTATAGTTGCCATTTCCAAGTTTTAATTGCTTTGGTTTAATTGGTTTAATCCAAAAAATGTCAATTCAGTAATTACCACTATGCTGTTAGAATTAGCTTCATTTATCATGTGAAAGAAAATCGACTTCAGAAAGGGAAAAACAACTATAATATAGTACCAGGGGAAATACTATATCATCAAGATATTAAATAACAATGTTGTACATAACTGAAACTAAGCTTATTTTATGGGAATAAAGAAAATATTTTTTTTCAATTCTAAATAATAATATACCAAAGAAATAATCAAATATAACTTAGCTAATGTAGGATTGCATTCATTCTTTTATAAATTTATTAATTGACTTGGAAACTATCTATTGAGTGCCAATTATATGCCTGGCAAAACAGTTATATAACTACTTTCATGGAATCTAATGGGTGAGAAAAAACTAATGAACACAAATCCACGTATAAATACAAACTGTGGTTTGTTTTGTGAGTCTATCAGAACCTGATTCATTGACAACATAAGCTGAGATATGAAGAAAAGAAGCTAGCTGCTTGATATAGAGGCAGAAGAAGAGTATTTCATGCAGAGGAGAACACAGCACAGGAAAAGAGGGAAGGCCAGTGTGGCCTAAGCACAGAGAAGAAGGTGGAAAGTGGCACAAGACGAAGTGGGTCAGTTAACAGGGGCTACATCATTGAGGCATGTTAAGGGTTTGTTCCATCCTAACAGCAATAGATAGTCATTGACATTTTTGAAGCAACAGCACGATGATTAAAACTGACCTTTAAAAGATCACTTTGGTGGCAGCAGATGGAGCAGACTGGGAAAGAAGAGTGGAATCAGAAGAGTTTGGAGACAACTGCAGTATTCCAGGTGAGAGATAATGATCAGTTAGAAGGTAGAGTTTATGTCTTCAATCTAACAATCCATGAAGTCTAAAGTTATTTGTGTTCTACAAGTGACCTATTTTCACGGAATACACGTATCAGATTCAAAGGGAAAGGGGAGTGATAAAATAGAAGGTGCACATGCTTTAGAATGAAATGAACCTGGTTTAGCTCTGATCTGAACTTTTAGCTCCACTACTTATTATCTAAGGGAAAAGGCATTAAGCTCTCTGAGCTTCAGCTTTCACATCTTTTGAGCACATAATCCTATCTCCAACAGCTGAGAAGACTAAGTGTGACAACGTGTGTGATATTCTCAGCATGTGGAAGGCCAGTGAGTATGAAAAGCCCCAGGACTGATTGGCTAGTTTCATCCCCTCATGTTAGAGATTCTCGAATTCCTTTTGAAATCTGTTCCTCCTCCTGAGTTTCTTTCTCCATGAACAGCACTAATATCCACCCAGTTGCACAAGTCAGAGGCCCAGCAGGCATCCTTTTCCCTCACCTCCATGACCATCAAGGCATATAAACTCTATTCTCTAAATAGCTCTTTAATTGATGGACCAACTGTTCTGGGCTCAATCTCTTTCACTAACCTAGTTAAGATCACCAGCATCTCCAAATTGGATTATCCCCTTCACTGATGATCAGTTTTGTTTTCCTCTTCCATTCTTTATGTTAGCCATGCAAATCTTATTGTCTCAGCTCTTCAACCATTCTCCTTAAACCAAGAAAAAGTCATCTATTTCCTTAGCATGACTAACAACACCCTGCACAATCTACGTTCTGCTTACATCCCAGCCTTGCCTCTTGGTTCTCCTCCTTTGTGGTCCAGTGGCTGAAAGAAACTGCTCCCTACTCAGGACTTGTAGCTCCCAGAAATACTCCCTTCACTGATGGACGAGCTCCTCCTAGCTGGAGCATTCTTCTTCCAAAGCTTCTCTCCACTCGATTAATACCTACTGAAAAACTGAGGCTTTGGCTTAAATAGCACTTTGTCTGGGAGGCACTTTTCCTCCACCTGACTGTCTACCAAGACTATACGACAGCCTACAACTTGAACTTCATTATTTGAATGAATTGAGTTGAGCACTCAAGTGGGGCCTGAAGAGTCTCACTGGACTGGTGCAAGTAACATAGGTTGGAGTTGGTAGTATGAGCAGAAGACCTAGGTCTGCTACAGGCTGCAGTGTCCCTTTCCCACCATCATGCCAACACCTACCTTGTTAATCTCTGATTTCATTAGCTCTCTTCCTTAAGCCCTGGAAACATTCTCTTCATGTGGCTGCAAAATGTTGCATATTTATCCTGTGGGTAACAATTTTTTTCACTCAAAAACAGACCACTGTCACTTCCTCTACCAAGATTCTTGGGAGTAGTAGCTGTGGCTGCTGTAACACTCTGAAGCACTCCTGCAGATTTTTATACTGATCTCTCTCCCCATGATAATGTAAACTCTTCTGAAACTAGGACCAAGCTAGCTTCATTTTACATCTCTGGTGCCCGAGACAGTTCTTGAGACACAGTGGTACTAGAAAATGATGCAAGAGTAAAATGACAGCTAAAGCAATGATGTCTCTGCCATCTAGAGATAGAGAGTTGGAGAAAAAGCAGATGGCTCTGGCTAAGATAAAGAATCAGGAAGGCAACTGAGAAGATTGTGTCACTGCCAGAACAGGCCGCCTCTCCTGGGGAGTCCTTCAGGCCCTCCCTGGCCTTCTTGCCTCTTTGTTATTCAGGATAGAGAATTGGAGATGGAAAGGAAAAAGCTGTCACTTTCAGACAGCTGAACAGTTAGGTAGGAAGGCTGGCTCATACAGATTTTCTATGCCTGCTGGGAAGCCTACAGCCAGCTCTGGGGTAGCTGATTTCACAGGCTGCACATTATTGAAAAGGCAGCATCACAGTCAACCAACTGCAGTGGAAATGGAACTGAGGTGAGCATAGAAATCCAAGTGTTAGTTCTGATCTTGCCCTGTGGCCTTCAGCAGACCTCTGAGCCTCGTTTTCCTCCTCTGTGAAACAAAGGGTTTAAACTAAGTGGTCTCCAACAGTCCTTTCTCATCAGGGGCTCCACAATTTGTGGATTTGCCTTGATTTACTTAAGGCAGCTACACAACCAAAGTAGAGAAGATTGTTAATCTGGTTAATGTACACAAACATCCTACTTCATCTCTTCACTCCTGGAACTTGAACTGGACTAGCTGAAGCACCGTCCCATAATGATATCCCATCATCTCCATATAGTAAGCACACTATAAGCTTTATCAATAAAAAGTTAAGAGATATGGTGAGGCTGTAAAGCAGTGGTTTGCAAAAACCAAAATCAGCATGGAAAATTGTTTGAAACACAACGTCCAAAGCCTTGTTCCAGACCTGCCAAATTGGAATCTCCAAGATGGAGCCCTACAAATATGTATTTTTTTTTTAGAAAGCTCCCATGTGATTTGATAAATCAACTACTTCAAGGCTCATTTTTAAAAGAAAAATTTGTGTTTCTCAAAGGGTAGCCTGTGGATCATGTTCATGTGAATTATCTGAGATGCTTGTTAAAAATATCTGGGAATGTGGCCAAAAATCTCCTTTCTCACCATTCTTTCAGTGACTTTATAAATAGTTTATATACACGGACAAATGAAATCATTCTGTGGGCAAAACCTCAAAGTCTATGAAACAATATAGGAGAGATAGGAAATTATGATTGCAGTATAGGTTTATTTCAATATTATTATTCATATCATATTGTTTCATCATTTCATTTAATCCTCATACAAGCCTATAATATAAGCATTTTTAATTTCATTTTACTGATAAATTAAACCATTAGAGAATTCAGGTAACTGGCTCACACACGCAAGATTCACAATATGGATACATTGGAACTAAAAATTAATGTCATGTAGCTAGGAAACCACCTATATTGTGACAGAATGTATAATTAAGATTTTAGTACACCTTTTAATTAAACAATTTGCTGAGATCTTATCTGATGAAGCAAGCTAGAAATATGTTTCAGCTCCTGTTGGTTGGTTTTATTAGCCACTACACCAATGTTAATGTCATTATACTAATCATAGATTACCCAAGATAAAATGACTATTAACTACTAAGCAACAGTGTTTCAGGGATGTCCTAGAGCCATAAAATGATCCAGGGTAGTCACCATTTCTAGTCAACAACCTTCAAACACAAATATTTAGAGTCAAGAAACCTAGAAGTATGCTACGGTTTTACCCACCTAATGAAGAACCCACCCGGCTCCAGACCTTGGTTACCTGAATGATTCATTAATCTATGTGGGCCCTAGACTCTGTATGACAACTATCTGCCTTAGTGCTAGAACAGGACTACATTAGATTTCAAATAACTTTCAGGGAATAAAGTATTAAATGCTGTTGCTACAGACATTTTTAGGACAAAGCTTTTTTTTTTTTCTTTTTCCTCATTGAGTCTTCTCAATTTATTTAATAAAATACTTGCTTGTGAAAAGATGTGTTTGTCTTGACCTCTTGCTAAACTGAAGTAGGAAGGGTCTCCCTGATTCCCCATTTGGGGATTTAGCACTGTAACGGGCATTTCAAAAACATGATAAAACTGACTGAACCTTAGCTATTATGAGACCTAGCTTTGATTTTATTAAAAAAAAATAAAAATTCACTGAAAGTGTAAATAGAAAATACAAAGTCGCCCAAAGCCGTGTTGCTTTTAACAGAATACAAATTCTTCCCCTTCCTGTGTTCACACCCTACCCTTTTCCTCTTCCTTCCTATTGATGTTACAGGCTTTCTGAAATATGCGGACACACAGATATTTCCAAAAAGAGGAAAAAGTAATGAAAATGACGTCAACAAAGAGAAACTGCCAAAAAATAAGTCAAACATTCACTGGCTGTAGATAGATTTGATGAAGGTTTTCTGACTGAGGTGTCAGTTTCTTTTGCTTTTTGAGAGGTGATTTTCTGTGTGCTTCACTCTCATTCAAATTTTGCATGCCAACTCAGATTGTATAGCTATATCCTGTCAAGTGTTCTCTTGAAGGAGCCGGTTCTTCCACAAAATGAATATCTAATTTTCTAAATAAAGAAGAAAAGGATACTTACAAGTCTCTGATTAAAATATGCTGTTATTTCAAAGAGGTTTAGGAAGAAACTCTGATAAACTTTCTTTCCTGTAAATTAATAAGAAAAAGCTATTAAGAAAGGAAAAAGAATAAATTCAGTTAGATTAACAAATTTTAATCATTTTGTTTTTATAGTTACAACTGGTAAACACCATGACTTGGCTTTCTTGAGAAAAGCAGGACCTCCTATTCTACAATAAAATTTTCTGTTAAGGTGCTCAATGGGGAGTCTACTCAGCAGGGTGTCTGCTCAAGGTTCCCTCTCTGCCCATCCCCCCTTTCTCTGGAATAAATAAATAAATAAATAAATCCTTAAGTTATTTTTTAAAAAAGAGTATTTATTTGCTTACTTGAGAGAGAGAGAGAGAGAGAGAGAACATGAGCATGAACAGTGGGGAGGAACAGAGGGAGAAGGAGAAGCAGATATCCCACTGAACAGAAAGCACCAATGCGGGGCTTGATCCCAGAACCCTGAGATCATGATCCAAGCTGAAGGCTGACACTTAACTGACTGAGCCACTTAGACACCCCTAAATAAATCTTTTTTAAAAAATAAAAATAGGGATCCCTGGGTGGCGCCGCGGTTTGGCGCCTGCCTTTGGCCCAGGGCGCGATCCTGGAGACCCGGGATCGAATCCCACGTCGGGCTCCCGGTGCATGGAGCCTGCTTCTCCCTCTCCCTGTGTCTCTGCCTCTCTCTCTCTCTGTGTGATGTGACTATCATAAATAAATAAAAATTAAAAAAAAATAAAAAAAATAAAAATAAAAATAAATTTCTGTTAAAAGTCAAAAGGGCTTCATTTCAAATAACAGGTGTTAGTGCCAAGGATTGCCAGCTACCAAATACAGTGGATAATTACTACATCAGTGCTATTAGGGATTAATGTCAGGTTGAGAAAGCCATTGTCTATACGCGACTGTCCATCACGGCAATACTTGTAACCATAGAAAAATTACTGTAAGAAAATACTTGGCATGACTACACCTCTGGGAAATTGTAAAAACTTGTTATGCTTTTGGAATATGACTGTAGAATTTTTTTATCTTTAAGTGCCTGAGGCATTGTGCCAATATTCCCACTACCCAAATGGGGACCATCTGGATAGAATCCAACCATCTTGCTCCTAGAAACAAAGGTAAACCATGTGCATATAATTCCTGTTCACCGAATGGGCCCCATATCTCTGAACCATCAGTATTCACAATGGCTCAGAAAGCAAGAGGGCGCTTTGCAAATTCCCTCCACCACATTCCCCCTACCCTCAGCCGGCCTGCCATTTATTCTCCTGGGCCTATTGCAACAACATCCTAAATAACTCTTCTTGCACACATTCTTGCTTCCTGCAACCCCATTCTTTACTCAGATGTCAGATGGAATTATTTCAAAGTAAATGTGCCCATGGTCATTCTATAATTAACCCTTCACAGCCATCCGCTCACCTATAGGATCAAGTCCAAGCCCTTTAACAGCATGTATAGTGCCCTCCAAGAGTTGGCCTCAGTCTACCTCTCCTTCCTTTTCACCTATGCCCAACCTGCATTAATCCTAAGGCTCTGAAGTCATATCCAGCCAGTGGCACCCCTATGCCTTATTTATACTGTCCCTGTCATTGAGGTTCTTTGCCTTCAATCTTCTCCCCATCCCTGGCTAGCATACATTCATCCATTCATGGTTAACTTGGGCACACCCCTTTCCTGAAAGCCTTCTCTGATCTCCTCAGGCTAATGGGTACCTTCCTCTCTGCTCTGAAATACTCGCATGTATCTCCATTATTGAACTTACAAATTTCTGATTAGTGTCTTCCCATCTCCACCTCACACAGTTTTTTAAAGCCTTTTGAGGACATTGATTGTGACTCATTCCTCTTGCACAACATTTTGTACATGGTAGGAGGAATAAAATAAATATCTGTTGAATGCCAAGGTGTATGAGGTATTTTTCAGACTCAGGGTTTCCTGAGTACATACTTTATCAGTGTGAAAGAATTTTAAAATCCAAAAATGGACATCTTTTATTTAACCTTGTTCCTGTACCCAGCTTCCCATATGGTTTTCACTGTTCCTCTCACTCTGAATCTGGGACTATTTCCCTTCAATTGAGTCCAATTTGTTCACACCAAATATAAGGAACTGAGAAGAGGAAGAGAAAAATAAATGAAAACACGATCATGGGGGAAATAGTAATAAAATAAAAATTTATAAGCTTCAAAATATATGCAATGTAAATATTCACCCTAAAAAACAAGTTTAAGAAAACATACTTTTGTAGTCCTAATTTTTTCAAACATCTGCATATAGCTCTTGGCAAAGATATAGTAGAAACTGCAAATAGGAACCCAGTTTAAAGTCAGTTTGATAAAACTAAACATTGTCATATGTATCTTTAAAATGCATGTCTTAAAAAATCCCTATTGTATACCTTTACTATACTAATGTTTTCATTTTATGAATTTCCACCATTTCTGCCCATTATACTAGAACCAAGAAAAAAAAAGAAATAGTATGTTGATAGAGTTATTTTTCCCTCTCTAACTCTTTGCAGCTTATGTTAATCCAGTATACCTATGGGATTTTGAAAATAATATTCCATACAGATTTTTGATAACTCATATCCATCAAAATTTAGATTTATGAGTGATATGCTGAAGATTAAGAGACTGGGAGAGCCTCTACTTAACATAAGTCATCAACTATCAACAATTTTACTAACAAAAGAGCAGTAATTTCTGAAAAGGTTTCAAGAACAGCGGCATGCCCCAACCATAACAGAAAGATCATTTTGAGCACACATCTCCTATTTTCAAATACTTATTTTTATAAATTATAAGTATCACTATACTAATACACTAATATAAGTTATGTATTATAACTATTATATATATGAAATGCATTAACAGAAATTTAAAATGAAAAAAAAACATATAACTGAGTATTCTATTATGTTCTTCCTAAACTTCAACACAAGATTCAGAATCTGTAAGACATTGCTACTGCACATGGTCTAATTCTCTCTACTGTCTCTCTTGGGACTTTTACATCTAGAGAAAACAGGAGCACCTGGGGGGCTCAGTGGTTGAGCATCTGCCTTCGGCTCAGGTCATGATCCCAGGATCGAGTCCCTCATCAGGCCTCCTGCATGGAGCCTGCTTCTCCCTCTGCCTGTGTCTCTGTCTCTCCCTGTGTGTTTCTCATGAATAAATAAATAAAATCTTAAAAGAAATAAATCTAGAGAGAACATAGGATCATATGAAGGCTAGGAGATACCCAAGGCGGAAAGCAGTAATCTCACCAAAGGGTATTTGCTTGCATGCCTGACAAGAGGAGCAGATTGAGGAGAAGGTAGGCCAACAGGAATCCATCATATTAGAGCCACATATACACTCAGAATTATGAATCATCTCATCCAGTGATTTTCAAACTATTTTTTTAATATATTTTTTTCCAAATGGACTCTTTACCAGATGGCCAATAGGTAAGATGGATACAAGCAGAACCGCTCTGGTTACAGCAGCTCCCAGACTCTACCCCCTCTCACCTCTTCCTCTTTTCTTCCTCCTCCAGAGAGGAAGGTCATGTCTGAAAATGACATGACCGCACTGACATTTTAGAGATGAGGTTACCAGGCTGGAGATGGAATGGGAGCAGCCATTTCAAGACAGAATGTAATAAAGTAGCTAAAACTACTCAAACTGGGCACTTGTGCATCATCCCTCTCAATGTCCCTGCCTTGTTTTCATGGAGTGGCTTCCCTGTGTATCCTGATCTGATCTCAGTTGTACGTATAAATACTTAAACTATGATGATTTAATGGCATTTAAGATAATTTTCACTTCTGGTGTTTGATAAAATAATGAATATTTATTTTCTCTTCGAAATGTATACTTCCTAACTTGAAAGTTTTAAGGACTCAAGCAGCCAGCCGTATCGATATACAAATAACTTACTAAAGAAGAAGGATCCAGTGCACCTCAATCATGAGATTTCAGGAGGTCCCCGAATCCTCAGAAATCAAGGTAAATATTTTAATGTAATTTTTAAAAAAATCAATATTAGCTTAAAAATTCTACGATGAAAAGGAAAAAAAAACATCAAAAATTTAAAGAAAGATTTGACCCTGTATTTGTACAACTCAGCCTCATATATCTCGCTCTAGACCTGGACCTGGTCCAGCAACTTCTCTGAAAGAGTAAAGAGCAAATATAAAAATCATGTCAGATTAGTTGTATTAAGTAAAAATCTGTGTCTATGTTACCTAGGATTACAGAAAAAGAAGAAAATGTAGTCTGGAGGACAAAGCCCAAACAAGGTGCACACCTTCACACCTCCGTCTGCAGGACTGAAAATGAAGTGATGGTGTTTGGGAACAAATACCCAACTGGACAAGTGTAACACAGGAGGTACTACTTAGTTCATGCTTGCATTTGAGCAATTTTACGATTTCAATGAGCTACTAAATCTAGTTACAGCTGCTTCAATAAGCATGTTCCCATTTTTGTTTAGTTTTTAAAAGCAAATCATTGTTCTAAAACGCATAAAAACCTGAAAGTTGAAATGTGCCAAGTGAACATCAGCTGATTCCTAAAAGCACATTAGCCACTTCAACGGCAAGACCTAGTTTTAAAAGGCTGTTCTTAAAATGTAGTTAACCTCTCAAGCATGACAGTGGTGAAAACAAGCCTCAAAGAAATGAATCACTGTGACATTAGAAAGTCTGTACCTTCATGAAGATGTTTTCCATCCACAGAACTCACATGCACTAGTTTAGGAAAATAAATGACTCCGTGTCTGACACAGTAGGCACTCAGCACATATTTACTGGATAAATGAATGAATCCATGAACTTTGGATAAAAAGAGGAGAAAAAGGTAGAATGGGACCAGATTTTGAAGAGCTCTGAAACAGAGACATTGTGCTGTGGGCTGTTGAGTAGAGGTTAAATAAGAAAAAAAAAAAAGTGGATCTTTAAAAGAAAGTATGGGTGGCTTGATAGCCAATTGTAAATCTAGCTAAAAGTCTCTAGAAATAATCTTGGCAATGATCGATAAAGG